GCACACACACACACACACACACACACACACACACACACACACACACACACACACACACACAATCACACACAAATATACGCACTAAGACTCTTACACACAAGCACACTCACACGCACATACGTACACAGACGCATATACACACACAGATGCATACAAACAAGCACAGAGTCGTTACTACATATTATGAACTTTACAACCAAATGTAATAGTTATTAAACCAACCAACAATGTCACAAAAAACCAACAAAGAGACAAAACAAAACAAAAGGACAACCTCTAGAACTCCTTGGGCTATTTTTGAACTGGACAAACTTAGGAACCGAGCCCGCATGTGCTTAGACAAACACAAATAGCTCTGTGCTTTCTAAATTTAGCCTTTTCATCAGACCTATTGCCCTCTAGTCTAGTGTTCTAAGCCTGTCTGTTTACTCCCCTCCCCCTCCCCATAGCTCCTGTCTCCATCAACAGATCCCCCAATGAAGCTAAAGCCGGAAAGTCGCCTTTGTCTTTTTTGTTGTCCTTTGGTAGACTAGTGTTTAGATCCGCCAACATATCCGTGACCAGCCCTCTTCTCCTTTCGCTGACCCTACGGGCACCTTGTCAACCCCTGTTGTTTTCTTGTGTGAGCGCCGTGTCAGGGGAGGGAAGCCCCTCCTGCAGATTCTAGGTCACGTGCCAAAAGATGGCGCTGACGAAATGACAACCGGAAACACTTCTTATCATTCACTGCTGTTGGTTATAACCTCGGAGCCGAAGTCGTTGGAAGCGTCTTCCAAGGGTCTCTTCGACGTCAGAAGGTAAATTTGAACAAGGAGACGAGACTTGGGAGGACGTGATCAGGCAGCTACGAGGGGACACGTACAGAGCCAAGGCGAACGGAAGATGTGCCGTTAAAAAAAACGAAAGAAAAAAAGATGTTGACGAGTCAGCCCAAAAAAGAAAGTAGTGCTTGCCTACAAAGTGCCACTTGTGTACCACTTTTGTCCCTGACAGTTGTCAGTTTCGGCCTCTTCCAGATTTATTTGAAGACCCCAGAATTACAAAAAATATGTTGTGTTTGTTTTCCTTAACATGGCATGACTATCATTATGTTCATGTGTTTCTCATTGATTCAGATTTGAAAATACATAAAGGTGTACCTGAAATACAGAACAGGCCAGCTGATATTTGTAGTAAAGCGTCTCAGACAACTCGGAAAATGAAAGGCTAGAGGATATCGTTTGCAAGCTAGTAGGTTATATTCTATACTATGTATTTCTTCTTTCTATCACCTTGAAGTTAATTATCGTGATTGACACCAAATGTATTTATATTGACACAAATAAATACATGTACTCGATAGTTTATTTCTGAAACTATCTCCCCCGATCATTTCAAAATCAGAACGCTCATGTCGAAAACAATTGAAACAAACGTCTTGCTCCTTTAGTTGTGATAACAACGATAAGAACAGCAGCAGCCATATCAAATAAAATGAGCTAAGTTGGGGGGGGGTAGGAAAAAAAGAAACAGAAGAAGGACACGGAAACAACTTGACAAGAACAACGAGAAATGGAAGGTCTCTGGAGATGCTTTACTGAAGTTGAAACTAAATATAGAACCCAAAAACAAACAAAAAAACAGAAAACAGATAGAAAGCAATTTTGGATGTCTCGCCACTTTAATACAGTCTTGGGTATTGATTAGGTCTTTAATCTATACTATACCAAAAGATACAATTCTTTATCATTCTTCATTCATTCATCTTCTCTTTTCTTCCATTACGCCACAGGGGTAATCAACTGTGCTTTCACAAGCCCACGCAACAAGTGTTTGCTCAGACCCTTGATGTCCGGACAGCCATATGAGATATTATACAAAAGACATTTACTGACAGCACCTTTGATGGGGTTTTTTTTTTTTTTTTTGCTTTTGTCTTTCTGGGTACGGAAGTGATTTAGGGTATAATGTTGATGGTGGTGGTAGTAGTGTAATTTTGTGTATGTGTATGCATGTGTGTGTATGTGTGTACGTGTGTGTGTGTGTGTATGTGTGTGTGTGTG